CCCGCCCCAGGAGTGCTGTCTCCAAGGACTTCTGGAGCCACTCACAGCGATGGAGCCGAGCCGGGCGTCCTTGCAGCCACACTGGCTCCGGGACACACACTGCTTCTCACTGAGCACAAAACCAGGCCGACAAAGGCAGCCCTCCTGGCAGGTGCGTGCAGTTTGTACGCCATTGCACTGGCCTTCCGGATCCCAGCAGGAAGGTAAGCAGGAGGGCAAGCAGGTGGTGTAGCTGCTGTGAGTCGGGCAATCCAGTGCTGGGAGTTGGAAAAGGGTACATGGAGCTCATTAGAGGGGAGCAGGCACTCAGAAGGACACAGCACGGTGAGCTGGGTGAAAAGCATGTGGTCCTGCGCGTTTATCCACTCCCTTCCTGCACCAGCTCATTTACCCTGCCTGTTGTCCACATCCTGATATCCCTTTAGTTTTGTGTGCTTTTATTGTCACCTGTTGTTGGCCCACCAGTGGGAGACAGGCCAACTGTTTCCTCCTTCCTTCTTCCTCCTACAGACATTTCCTCAATGCAGGTTTCATTTATTCCCCGTAGCAACGATGAGCATAAACATTGTTCCCCCAACCCAGTGCAGGATACAGAGATCATCTGGCAGCATCCAGCTGACCTGATGTGAATGGCCAACAAGCAGGAAAGTTTCCACTCTTTGTAGTTAAAGAATACCTTAAGCTATAGTTGTTTTTAATAGCCTGCAAATGTTTCCAGTCAGAAGAGTTTATGACAGAAGATGTCAGTTTTCTCTGTGTAAACTTATACCCTAACGGTGACTCCACAAATACATCAACTAAATCTTTAAAAATAGGAGAATATGATATTGAAGTGGAAATAAGGAAATGCACCAGAAAAGCAAGAAAAACTGAAAAAGAAAAAGAAGGTAATGCATAAGTAATGTCTCTAATAGAAAATAAAACACACTTTGAACTTTATGATCAAATCATCATGTTACTAGTAAATGAATATAGATGGATGAATGAAAGGAGAGAAAGTCCAGAAATGTATCCAAATAAAACGAGGGTTTAGTAAGGGTAAATTGTGGCATCTGTTGAGGGAAAAGAGATTAGTCATTTAATAATACTGGAAAAATTTTAAAACCAAGTTGATATTTAAATGGAATTATAAAAACACTAGAGCAAAATATGGACAAATTCTTTTTTAACTTTAGAGTGGGGAAGGAATTTATAATTATGGCTCAAAATGAAACAAAGTAATATTCTCAGCCAAAAAAAAAAAGGCAAATAGGGGAAAGTATTAGAAAAAAATTATAACTCTTAGCGCTTGTGAAGGGCTACTCTTTGGAATAATGGATTTCCATGAAATAGGTCAATGAAGAGATAGTTCAGCAAAAGGGATATTCACACAGTTCCTACACCTATGGAAAAACACACACTCCTAAAAGGAAAAACGCAGAGTAAGACAATTCAGTTTTCACTTGTCAGATTCACAGAAATCCAAAAGCATACTAAGACTGCGTTTATGACGCTGTGAGGAAGCAACCTTGCTGGTAGGGATGTGAATTCCTCAACCCCTATGAACGGTCACTCAACACAAGTACAAGTGTGCAGCCCAGACTCCAAGATCACACTTCTAGAAATGCACCCCACAGATGGTGACAAGGAAAATCCTATCTGCATGTGGTATGCAAACGGTTGGAAACAGGGAGAAAATCAATAGGAGAGTTGTGAACACAAAATATATCAAATGAGTTATGACGTAATAATGGAATATCATGCAGCAGCAACAGAGAATGAGGAAGCCCTTTCTGTATCTGGAAGGATCTCCAAGCAAGACTGTCCCGTGGTGGGGGAAAAAGTGCTAGGACCGTTGGCTAAGAAGTTCTTACAGATGCTCCACACCAGGGACAATGAGGTCAGAAATAGGTCAGGAAAAACCAGGAAAGAGAACAGAAGAGCATTGTGGGATCAGAGAGAAACATGATTTGAGAATGACCCCCTTAAAAGATACTCACAACAGGCCCTCTGGTGGCACAGCAGGTTAAAACACAGCACTAAGAAGCTAAAGCCGCTTCCGCATGAGTTCCAACCCGCTTGCCCCCGGGAAGATCCACATGGCGTGGCAGACCTCTCCTGACCCGCCAGCTGCTCCCCTCAGCAGTGTACTTCGTGGATCTGCCTGTTCTGCTCCCCACTCTGTCTCTGGTGAAGCCTCTCACCCTCCACATCTGTGGCCTGTACCCCAGTTCTATATGAATAAATAAGTAAATCTTGAAAAAAAAAAAAAAAAGATACTCACGACAGAAGCTGCTGTTTCTCCAGATTGGGGGTTTGAGCCCCTGGGCCTGGCAGGCAGCCTCAAAGCCTTTCAGAAACTCACACAGGGCATGATGGAGGCCTCCAAACTCACAGAGGTGGTGGGTACAGCCAAGCAGGAAGGGCTCAAGGCCCACACGGGTGGCACAGTTAGCCCAGGCTGGAGCCTGGAGGGCTGCTTGGCATTGTTTCTGGACCCTTGATAGGTCGGCCTGCCTGCAGTTTATCTCCGGCTTCTCCTTTTCTTCTGCTTGGTTCTTCCTTTGTTGGCAACTGGGAAGAGAAAGCAGTCATCACAGAGATGGTCACTGCCCTGCCTTTGAACATAATTCCGGGACCCCAACACCTTAAAGATCCCTCTTGGCTTCACCCAGAAGCTGGTCTAAGCTTTTACCAACATTCTACACATTTTCAACCTCCTTCAACATTTCTTTTTTTTTTTTTAGTCAAATTTATGTAAAAATTTATTTATTTTTGCATACAAGAACAAGAGTCTAGGCCAAAGGTATGTGGGGGTGTGAGAGGATTCTTCAGAGTCAGAGTGGGGAGCAGAACAGTCAGATCTACTGAAATACACGGCTGAGGGGAGCAGCGAGAGAGACAGGAGAGGTCTGCTGCGCCATGGGGGTCAGCTCCCTGGCCGGGAATCAAACTCGTGGCTACACTGGCTGCGGATAGCTTCGTAGTGCTGAGACTTAACCCCTTGAGCCACCAGGGAGGCCCTACTTCCACATTTCAAAGCAGAGAAAGAGGACTTTCATGTTTCCCCAAATAGGTCTTGGAACCCCAAAGTCAACCCCATGAAATTGCCCACATAAAGGAGTGTACATGTCATCATCTCCCACGTGTACAATATGGTCGAGTCCCAACTTATGTTCCTATGAAAAAGTAGAGAGCCTTAGGGACAGTTACTTTTGGTCAGTCTCCTCATCTAGCCAGCTGTCCACAAACTCCGTGTCGTTAAGGGCTAGCTCATCATTGGACATCATTAGTTCATCCTCTTCCTCTGCATTGAAGTTCCCACACAAGCCGCAGACCTAGGTGGGCAGAGGGCATCGTCAGGATAAGAGCGTTTGTAGTTGGTAGCCCCTGTCCTCCTCTAAAGGGTAAAGCACGCTCCATAGACCAGCAGTTTGAGGACTTGAGACAGGGGCTTGCCATTCCACACGGGGCTTGAGCCCTGTTGGGATGGACGAGAATTGACTTCCTAAAAAGAACCAGGCGTTTGCTCACATGATTATGATAGTTAGTAGGGATGACCACTTGTAAGTGACGGCCGTCAAACTCGACTTTAATGCCCAAGACAGTGTTGATCACAGTGTAGTTGCCATTGGCTGAGATATCAACATTTGGGATCCGGTTGTGCACAGGAAGTTTGACCTGTGTGCCATTGATCTACAGAGGCGGGCAAGGGTGTGAGCAGGAAAGGGAGCAAAGCTCTTCCCAGAGCTCGCTTCCGCCACACTCCCAGCTTACCAGCACGTGGTGTGCCCTCTTCAGGGTGATCCAGGTGTGGTAGATGTACATATCAACCTGGCTAGGGGAAAAAGGGGCGGCAGGCCTGTCAGACTTCCCATTCCTGCTAGTGATCTTGAAGAAGGTCATGCGCTGGTGGAAGTGGCACGTTTTCACCAGGGTGTAAGTGCAGTTGCCCCCGAGGCCATGATGACTCCCATCGAAGCTCACATAATAGGGTTCATCGGAGAGAGAGCACGTTACTGAGCCTGGAGGAGGAGGAGGTGGCCAAGTGGCCCAGCCTTAGTGAGAACAGGCGTACCCTGCCTCCTCTTCCCAGGCTTCAAGGACAGGCAGGAAGCCACCAGGGTGGGGGAAGAACAGGAAGAGAAAGGCTTGGGGGTGGAGCAGGGAATATTCTGCCAGAGAGACACATCCCAGTCAGTTCATGGCCCTGAGAGGAGAACAATGAGTGAACACCAAAAAGTCCTTCCTTGTGGCCTGAGGGTCATCCTCTCCCCAGCCCACCCACCATCATCAGAAACTCCTTCGGCAACAGGACAAGAATCTAAGTGCTAAGACTTCAGGGAGAATGGAAGAGGCAGTTGAGGAGAGCTTGTCTTGGTGGCTGTGGGGTCCAACTCTGAGCCCAGTGGCCCCCCACCTGTCTTCAGGCAGCGTATGCGCCCCTCCATGGGCCAGCACAGGTGCTGATGCTTGCAGGAAGATCGCTGGCAGGAGATGTTGTTATAGGTGGAGCAGGTGCAGAGCCTGGAGCAGGTTCTGTCTGTGTACCAGTTCTCCCCGACCTGTGGGGGACATCAGCAGAACAATGGCCACTTGGAAGCCAGAGATGCGCTGAGCCCCCTCCAGCCCTAGCTCCTCAGAGATCCGTGCCACTGTCTGCTGGCCTCCTTCGCTAGCCTTTCTCAGCCTTTCAGCATCAGGCTGCTCCCAACTCAGCACTGGCTCACTGGCTGGCTGCACCCCCTCGCAGGATCTGAGCCTGTCTGCCCAAATGCACCCACCGCCTTCTGCCTCTCACCGGGTGGTAGGAGCCCCACTGGTCTGTACAGCCACACTGGCTGAGGGGCACACAGGATGTTCCACTCAGGACGTGACCCTTCTGGCATTCGCAGCCCTCGGCACAGGGCAGTGCTGCCGGGCAATCTCTTGGGGCATTTAGGCTGAGGCAAGTGGCTGGGCAAGGGCTGGCACAGGGCCTGTATGTGCTGCCGGATGGGCATCTCAGAGCTAAGAAAAAACCAGTGTTAGGAAGGGCAGAGTGATTTCTAGCTCCCTGACTTTGAGACATCAATAATACTTAAGAATGTCTATCAGATGACTGGATAAACAAATCAGGGTCCATCCACACAACAGAATATTGTTCAGCCTTAAAAAGGAAGTGAATTCTGTGACCTATTACATGTTTTGAGAACACTACAGAAAGTGAAATAAGTCAGTGACAAAAAGGTCCCGAGATTAGTGACAGAATACAATGGAGGGCTGGGGGAAGGGGAGTTCTTTCTGGGGAAGAGAGTTTCCATTTGGGAAGATGAGAAAGGTCTGTGGTGAATGTGGTGAGGGTTGCCCAAAAGGGTGAATGCACTTGGTGCTATAGAACTGTACCTGTAAAAATCGTTAAAATGGGAGTTTGGGGCTATGTGTAATCCAACACCCCCCTCCCTGCCCCCCACATACACACACACACACACACACACACACATACACACACACACAAGGGAACTCAGGTAAGAAGGAGTGGAGGTGATGGCCAAATATGGGAAGAACTTTTTGGCGAGGTAGAGTCAGGTGGAGGCGTGCAGGGAGGCCACGAGGGGAGGCCTGGAACGTGGGTAGGGAGGAGGGTCCCGTGGGGCCCAAGGGTCAGGGTATGAAGGGAAGCACAAAGAAGGGGCACTTGGGGAGGGGAAGACATGATAGGGTCTGGGGGGCTCCTCCAGGCTTGGGGAGTGGGTGGTCAGTTGACTCACAGCAGAAGGTGCTATTCCGCCAGGCAGGGGGGTGGCCTGCAAGGGCACACTGGGCTGCGTAGGTCTGCAGGGAGCGGCACAAGGCCTGGGTGCTGCCCTGACTCCTACACTGGTCATACTTGCAATTGGAAAGGCTGGCTTTCGGGGACACCGCCCGGTGACACTGGGAGAAGGGTCCTGGGGAAGGAAAACATCGGTGTGAGAGAGACCTGTTTAGGAAGGGAGCAGAACCAGGCAATTGCTTTGTGGAAAATTGAACATTCTTTCTATTAAAGCCCATTTTCCTGCAAACCTACTACCTAAGACAGCCTCATGTGTTGAAACTCCAAAGAGGGTGAACACTGCCACTCTTTTTCCTTCACCTTGCTCTTGACTCTCCTATTTCATAGCTGGAACTTCCTCCCTCCCTGAACAATTCCCCTCCTGGGAGAGGAGCCAGGGGCCAGCAAGGATGCAGCTTACCCCTAGGGTTCATTAAGATATCACAGTTCTTATTCCAGGGGTCTGTTTCTTCCTTCTTCAGGCATTTGGGGGGCTGGATATTGATACCTGTCGTGTAGCAGCTGATGAGGAGAGGGGGGAAGATAAGAACTTAGGGTTGGGGGAAAGATCCCCCAATTAAAGCAAAAGTGGAGAAGGGACAGGAAGGGGAAATAAGGACAGGAGGAGAGGACAAGGGGCACCCTCGAGTAGGAAATTCAGAAGATCCAGCGGGAAGGAAAGAAGATGGATCTGAAAGGAGACATCCCAAGAAAGCGCTCTGAAGAGACAGACCAGGAAGACTGAAGGGACCCAGCAGGTACCAGCAGGAGAGGTCAGAAGTTTTCACCAGCTCTGTCCTCTGAGGCGCCTCCCCAGTCCAGATCCCATAGCCCCAATTCTCTACTCACTAATTTTCAGATAAATCTTTTGACTTCCAGGCTGCCCCCAGGGTGATGGCGCTATTGGCTGGCTTCTTGTCAGGTTGCAGGTTGTCATCCAAACTGTTGTTGTTATAGTTCCCTGGGGGAAGGAGAAGTTCATAGGAGGCAAGGCACCTGCCGGCAGTCTCCACCCACCACCTTTCTTCTCCAAAGAGGTATCCCCACTTTCTACTCAACAGCTCAAGCTTAACCCCTTCTTTTTGTTTACCTCCAGCTTCCCTTAACACCTGCCCTCACAACCAACATCCTCAGCCAATTATCCAGTGGAAAAGGACTCAGGACACCTACGATGAACAGACTCAGGCTCCTGCCTATTGTCCTGGCTTTGCCCATAGGTGCTTGGGCAACTCACCACACAGCCCGCAGAGCCGGCCGGCGTAGGAGGAGGACACTGTCACTTCCACCAGGTGGTCGCCATCATAGCGAACTTGAAGCCCAAAGTCCGCGTGGAGAAGAATAAAGGAACCACTGGGCCTGATGACCAGTCGACCTTGGGCAGGCCACACTGGCAAGGTCACCCGGACACCGTTCAGCTACAGAGGCAGGGAGGGTACTGTAGGGAGAGGCGCTAGGCACAGGACAACAGGGGCCAAGACTGGGAGTAAGAAGGGGTGGTGGTGTGTTTCAGGAACTGGGGGGCTGAGTCTGCTTTGAGCTCCCTCAGGGGGCTCTAGAGGTCAGAAAAGTGAGTGGGGAGGGACAGAGGAGAGGAGCTGAGCAGGTTGGTGGGGCAGGTCTGGGGGATAGGTGGAGGCACACACCATAACCTTGTGACCTTTGAGCAGAGAGATCTTGAGATTGAAGACATGGACGTGGACAGCTTGGACGTAGGTGACCTCAGGGTTTCCTCCACGGAACTCGTTAGTGGCGAACACGATGAAGTCGTTCTCTAGAGGAATGGTCTGGCAAGGCCGGGTTAGGGTGTAGGTGCAGGTTCCCATGAAGTGGAACGGGGCTCCGTCGAATGTCAGGTAGTGGGGGTCCCCTGAGATGGTGCAGGTGGCGCTGCCTGGGGAGGAGGAGATGGAGTTTGGACATGCATTGGTCCTGAGCTGCTTCCTGTCAGTCTGCATTGAAATGACAGCAAGGTTCCTGGGAGGTCAGATTGGCGTGGAGGGGTCAAGGAGGGCCACCACCCCAACCTCACTGCTGGGTTCTTGAAGGTGCTCCCAGCTCCTGGTTACACCCCAGAGTGGGGTGCCTGCTTTGGGGCAGAACATGCATTCGCTCAAGGCCATATGGGTGCCCACCCCTGCTGTCCTTCCAGCTGGCTGCTCACTTTGGGCGTGGCAGCCATAGATGCCATTCTGCCGACTGCAGACTTCCTGGGCCTGGCACTTCCAGGGCAGGCAGCGAATATTGAAGTTCTTCTCACAGACACAGAGATATCTGCAGCCTGGCTTGTACCACTTCTCCCCTGCCTGGGGGATAGAAGGAGGGAAGGAGAAAAAGGCTGTTCCCATGTCTGACTAGTCCCACCCTGTCCATAAGACTCCTAGGGAGTGCGTGAACCACAGATAGTACCCTGCACAGGCTGTATGTTTTCCTACAGCTAACATACCTGTGACAATTTAATTTATAAATGGGCACAGTAAAGGTTAATAATGGTGGCTACTAATAAAACACCGATAATGATATACTGCAATAAGCTATGTGAGGTGACCTCCCTCTCAAAATATCCTAATGTCTGTAAAATATCCAGGCCACGGATGTCCTTGGGTAATGGAAACATGGAGAATGAAACCATGGCCGAGGGGGCTTGCTGGACTAGTCCAATGCTATGCAAATCACCAGCCTATTCACTGGTGGGGGTGTACTCCTGTCTCCCAAGCCTCCACCTTCATAGCAAAAGCCTAGCATCTGCTCACTAATCCAATCACGTCGTCATGTTTCTTCAGTTTCACCATTTAGCTGTGTGCACAGGGTCACATTTTGGGAATTCGGTAATGAGTTGGATGGACCATGTCCCTGCCCCTTCACGGAACTCATTGTGGTGGGGAGGGAGGGAAAGAATCAAGATGTCAACTACAAAATCATGTGCCTCAGCACCAGATGCACCCAAAGATGACGAGCAGGGAGCCAATGGCAGTTCAATGCCATTGACACAGGCAGTAAGCACTTGCTGCAAGAGTTGAGAGAAATGCTTTTTGATTTGCTGTCAGGAGAGGTTCCAGGAGGAGATACATTACCAGGGGACCTCAAAGATTCACTGACTGGGAGGCAGAGCAGGGCAAATCGGGGCTGCGAACAGAGAGCTTGGGAGAGACTAAGGCAGGGACAGGGAGAGCGCAGTGGGCCAGTTGGGAGCAGGGAGGGGAGGGTCAGTGGTAGAGGACATCAGCACCATTTGCAGGTCTTAGGGGAGAAACAGGCAAAGGAGATTGAGGTGCCCCAGTCACGGCTCTGGCTCCATGAGCTTCCTAGAGCTGGGGAGACAGGCGCCACAAGGCTGAAACTGCAGTAGGTAGGAAAGGACGGGGTTTCGAAAGAGTGCAGGCAAGACACAGAAGGACTTCCAGAGGCTGAGAAACTGAGAAAAAGACAGGGCAGTAGGGGGAGCAGTGGGCAAAGTAAGAAGGGAAAGGACCAAGGGTCTCAGGCTCCTCTAGGCAGCGTGGGGATAACTGTGCTGTGTATGGTTCCTTCCCATGGGTGTGAAGAGCACCAGGGCTGAGCCCAAGTCTTCCATTCCCAGCCCCACACCTCCCCACTTCCCCCTTCACTGTCCTGCCCACCAGCTTGCCCCAGACTTCAGAACCAGGATGAGTGCTTTGGGCTGTCTGCCCAGGGCTCACCTTAAAGTAGCCATCTGTGGGGTGAAGGCACCCACACTGGCTCCGGGGGACACACTCCAACCCACTGAGGACGTAGCCTGGATTGCACTCGCAACCTTCCACGCACCGCTGCTGGCAGGACATGCCACTGAATTTGGGGCGGCAGGTGTTGGGGCACAGACTGGCACATAGAGTGTACTTGCTGTTGGGTGGGCAGGTCAGAGCTGGAGGAGGAGGAGAAGCGCAGATGAGGATGGTGTGAGGCGGACAGAGGAAAAGGGAGAGGTGATCCACAGCCAGGTCACAGCCCAGAGTCAGAGGACCCACAGCTAGAGACTTCTGCCCCCTGGAGAGGAGTATGGCTGAGAAAAGCCCCACTGAGGGGCTTGGCTTTCACTGGGGGCTGGGGAAGCAGCCTGCAGGGCACATTGGGGGAGCAAGCCAACCCAAAAGCCTCAAAAGCTCTGTTGTATAAAGAAGTCCAAGGTTGGGGGGTGAGGGGGTGGGGAGGGGCTAGCCCTGTCCTAAAGCAGGCTCCCCAGAGAGCCGGGCCAGAACCTGAGCATCACAATTGCCTCTTGGCACAACTCACGGCAGAACAGGGGTCCCCTCCAGGGCTTCACTGTATAACCAGCTTCCTGGCAGGTTTCTGTCAAGGCTGACAAGTGGGAGCACAGCATCTGCTGCAGTCCCTGGAAGTTACACATGTCAAACATGCAGTTATCGAAGAAGGGGAAGGTCATGATGTGAGGCAGGCATGCCCTGAGGAGAGAAGACAGATCAACGGGTGGTCCCATTACCATGGGCACCCCCTCCTACCCCAGCAGGCCCTTCCTGTCATCTTTCATACTCAAAGGCTCCGTGGGCTGCCACAAGCTGTCCGCAGAACTCGGGCCCCGACAAACTGTTTAGCAAGCTTGAGTCACAAGATGGGGTGGTTTCCTGGTTCCTCTGGCACCTAGAAGATATTCACCCACAAAACTCTCAAGGCCAAGGCTCCCCACCAGTCCTGACCCTTTATCCTGGTGGTCTCTGGCTCTTGGCAACCCCCCTCATGGAGAACATTTGAATGCCAAGCCCTACCAGAAGTGGAAAACTCTGGGGCGGGCCTGGTAAGAGTGGGGATGCTCACAAGGCCTGAGGACTGAGGTAGGGGGCAAGGGCCATAAAGATTTCACGGGCTTGTTCAGAAATGGGGAGGAGGGGGAAGGCAGCCAGAAGTGGGGGTGTGGAGAGGAGGAGTGAAGAGAATGAGGGGTGATGTCAGTTAGGGTGCGTGGCTCTGAGACAGGCCAAAGGAGCAGGGGTGCCAGGATGGGGATTGGATGTCCCACTCTTTGTCCTCATTGTCCACTATCTGCCAGCTGTTCCCCAGCTCCTCCTGGTCTTGGGCTGGAGTGCCATCTGGCTTCCGGTTGTCATTGCGGCTGTCGCCATCATAGTTTCCACAGAAGCCACAGAGTTTGCTAGAATAGGTGCTGGGGACCAGAAAGGAGGCATTAATGGAGAGAAGGGGCCTCACTCCATGGAGGGATCAAAGCTGAGGGGAGGAGTTGGGGGTGTGGGAAGGAAGGCAGTACAGATCTAGATGGTGTACACTAAACCAGGGCTCGAAGCCAGAGGCCAGGTTCACAGGATCTCACAACCGTCGGCCTGCGCCATCTCTAGTATCCCTTCATCCCCTCTGCTCCCGTTTCCTCTTCCAGCCATTAGCAAACCTCTTGTTTCCTCTCAACCATTCCAGTTTCTTCTTGCATTTACGGTTCATGACTTCTTTTTTTTTTTTTTTTAAGATTTATTTATTTATACAAGAACTGGGGTGCATGCCAGTGATACAGGGTAGAGGATAAGAGGATTCACCAGAGACAGAGTGGGGAGCAGAATAGGCAGATCAACTGAAATACACTGCTGAGGGGAGCAGCGGGCAGGTCAGAGGTCTGTCACACCATATGGGTCAGCTCCCTGGCTGGGGATCAAACTCGTGCTGCAGTGGCTTCGGAGAGCATCATAGTGTTGCTTTAAACCATTACTCCACTAGGGAGGGCCCTTGCTCAAGACTTCTAATAGTTTTCCCCTTGTCTGTCCATCTGGGGAGCCACTTTTCCTTTAATACTGGGGTCAAGCAACCACTCTTCAGAACAACCCCTTCTAGCACATTCCCCAAGCACTGTGTATACGTGTTGCTATTATCACACTGTCCCATAACCATTTCCTCTGATCTCTTCATCCAAAGTGAGCCCTGCCCCCTGAGCTAGGTGCTGGTGTAGGAGGAGACAAGGCTGGAGGAGGTGTGGACAAGGAGAAGTGGCAGCTGTCATATTGGGTTGCCCCTCACCTGGGCACAGTGATAAACAGCTGCTGGTCACCATCCCATCTGATCCGCAAACCAAATGTAGCCTGCAGCTCCACAAATCGCCCACTTACTGTCAGATAGATGCCCCTCTTAAGCAGAATTGGGAGGGTGGCTTGCTGACCCTCAACCTGAAAGAGGGAAGAGACAAAGATCTGGGTGTCAAGGTGAACCCTCAGCAGACACCCATGTCCACGCTGGAAGGCATGTCACCCTCCACAGGAATGTTAATGACCTCTTCCCCTGGGAGGGCTCTGGAGCTGACAACAGGCATGACCATGGTTACTTGATGTAAACCCACCCCTGAGAGGCTTTGGAGGTGGAAGCACTGACCAGGACTCAGACACAGTAGCCCACAGACAAGGCTGCAGCCAGGCCTGATGGCCCTGACCAAATTAAAACAAAATGGGACTTGCCAGGGTGCGTCTGCCCTTGAGCAAGGTGATGGTGGTCTCTTGCACGGTCACGTAGACTGCTTTCAGGCAGGACATGCCTTCCTGTACTCTCTCCTCATTCTTTGCCGTCACCCTGAAGAATGGCTCTGGGTGGCAAGAGGGGCGAAGGACGTTTGGGGTGATTCAATAAGCATTTCTGAGCACTGGGGGGGGGGGGAAGGGCCCCAGAGACACCCAGCTCTGCAGTCCAAGAGTTGGGATTGGTCCCCAAGGGAGTGAAGCAGTAGTTTGTGCTACTGTTCTCATTCTTTACTGCTACCACACCAGCCTTTATGAAAGCTGGCCAAGGAAGCAACTGGTGTCTTTGAGTTCATTTCCCAGTAATCTGGCCTTAAGAAAGTCATTTCTGAGCCGGACATGTCAGCCTTGAATGCTTTCTCCTCTCCTGTTTCTCCTGGCCATGCCTCCTAGCGCCGTTCCTCCTGCCCACTGTGCCCCACACCTGGCAGCTGTGACCTCAGGCCCCTTGCTCAAGTCCTACCTGTTGAGCTGCCACAGGGTTGGGCCAAGATGTAGGTGCACTTGCCCATGAAGCTGAAGGGTCTCCCGTCAAAGGTGAGATAGTGAGGGTCTCCGTAGACAAAGCAGGTGGCAGAGCCTACCAAGGGAGGGGGGGAATTGAGGAGCTGAGTCCAATGTCCCCTCAGGCAAGTCAGGCCCCACAGGCTTCACCCAACCTGCAACCCACTCTGGCACCTCGAATTAAGGAAGGTATGAGGACCCTGGTGTCATGCCTACTCAGGCAAGCTGGGCCAGCACGAAGCAAGGGGTGCTCACCATAGGGATGGCATCCATACTGGCCATTCTTCTTCTGGCACGCTGTGTGTTTTCTGCACTGAGAGACCCGGCACTCCTTCTGACTGCCAGGTAAGCAGCGGCAGTGTTCTGCACAGTTGGGGCTGTACCACATTTCTCCAACCTGGGGACAAGGAATCCCCAGTTGCAAACCTGTAGCTCTTCGGGGTCCTTCCTCTCCTCCACTAGGCCTGCAGACCTGACCTTGTTCCTACACTTGCTTTCACCACCACCTACCAAATATAGCTGCCCACCCCAGGACATTGACACATGCTAAACTCTTGTCCTGGAATGGTCTTTCTCCTCTCTCTTTCTAAATCATGCCTATAAAACCTGTAGAGTTAAACTCGAGGTCATTACTTTCTCAGCAAGACTCCCCAGACCACCCTGAGCTGCATCCTCCAGCTGAGGACCTAGCCACTGCTGTATTTCTGCGCCTATTATTTTGTACTTGTTTGAGTGGAAGCACCTCTTTGAGGGATCGAGTCTGTCTTTACTCCCTGCCTTAGCTCCAACAGGGAGCACCGTGCCTGACAGGGAGTTTTGCACTCAAAAAATACTTGCTGAATTGAAAGCAGGAATTAAGATTTAGGAGAGCAAGGGCGAAGCCCTACTTATGGTGACCCCAGTGCCAGGAGGGTAGAAAGTATTTGCTCAGTGTTTGTTGTATGAATATGTTAAAATTTGTCCTGCAGAGCAGAGGGAAGCGATGCTTAAGGCTGATGACTGTGATAGAGCTTTCTGGCTGTGCTGTAGCTGAAGTCAATCTAACACTAACACTGAGATATCCAGGAGACTGACTAAACACAGGGGTTCAGGGGGGGGAAAGACTTCTGAAGAGACAAATCAGAACTCTGATGACAATGGGAGGAACACCAGACCTGAGAAGAGCCCCCGGACACTAACAAATAGCTTCGTATGCTTTTAATGAGTAGGGTGCATGTGATATGTATCATAAATTGCTAACAATAATAATAACTAACATTTATTTAGTAATTGGTCTGTGTTACAATCTAATTTCATCTTCACAACAATCTTACAAGGTAAAACATCTGTTTGTGCACATTTTATAGGTATGAAACAGTTTTAAAAAGGAAAAAATAACCTTGCTCAAGGTTACCTGGAACCCCAGTGTTGTGCTGGCTGTCTCCCACAGGGGATCTGGGAACGCGAGTGGTGGCACCTTACAGGAGTTAAGAATATACTTTCAGGGATCATTTTTATAGCTCATTACCTTATAGTAATGGTTGTTGTAGAAGCAATAGCAGGAAGAGGCCTTGACGCAGGTGGAGTTACTAAACAAAAAGCCGGAATTACAGACACAGCCTGGCTGGCAACGATGCCAACATTTGGGCTTGGGGTTGTTGCAGGACGCTGGGCAGGCACAGTGTTCATAGTGGGCATTTGAAGGGCAGCTCACTAAGGAGAAAACATAGCCTCATTAAGCCACCAGCCTATGACTTTTCTGTTTCTCCTCTACCTCCAGACTCAAGTTCTTCTCTAAGTAAGTTGCCTATCTAATTCAGCCATTAAAAAAAAAAAAAATGAAGTCCTGATACGAATGACAACACGGCTGAACTTTGACGACATCATACCAATGACGAAGAAGCCAGTCACAAAGGAGTATACAGTTCTATTTATACAGTCTAGAACAGGTAAATCCATAAAGACAGAGTAAACTAGTGGTTGCCAGGGATGGGAGGGACAACTAGAAATGGGGTGTGACTGATAATGTATGTGAAGTTTATTTTGGGGGGGAAATGATGAAAATGTTCTGGAATTAGACAGTGATAATGTTTACTCATAAATCTCATGAATATGATAAAACCATTGAGTTGTATACTTTTAAAAAATTTTATTTATTTATGTATACAGAACTGGGGTACAGGCCAGAGGTGCAGGGAGTGACACAATTCACCAGAGACAGACTGGGGAGCAGAACAGGCAGATTGACAAAGTACACTGCTGAGGGGAGCAGCAGGCAAGACAGGAGAGGTCTGTCATGCCATGTGGGTCACCTCCCTGGCACAGGATTGAATTCGTGCTGCAGTGGCTGTGGACAGCTTCATAGTGCTGCGCTTAATCTCTTGCGCCACCAGGGAGGGTCTGAGTTGTATACTTTAAAGGAGTTATTTTATGGCATATGAATTTTATCTCAATAAAAAATTAAGAACTAAGCCTGGTATTTGGTTCCCAACCACCCATGCTCACCTGAGCCCTTCATCCCTTCAGTCAAGGACAATAGTCCTTATTTCTCTTAAGTCACCATGTCTGATTCATCTCTCCCCTGCTAGAAGCATCCTTTTCCCCTAAACTTTTCCTAACTACTGTCTTTTTCTTACTTTATTCAATGTGCTGTATCATACCTGGAGTGGATCTAGGTGTTGTGGTGGCCAGCATCACAGTGGTCAGGGAGGTACTTGGAGCTTTAGAAGGTGTCACCAAGGTTGTAGTCCTGAGTACAGGAGTTGTGAGCCGTCGAGAGCGAGTAGTGGGACTTGGAGTAGGGATGGTGGGTTTTTCAGTGGGGACAGTGGATATATTTGTGGGAACAGTGGCTTTTTCTGTGGAGGAGGTAGGTTTCTCTGTGGAGGTGGGTTTCTCTGTGGAGGTGGTGGGTCTTATAGTGAGAACTTTGTGTCTTTTAGTGGTGACAGTGGGTTTCTCTGTGGA